GAGATTTTTCATGGCTTTTGCCTGCGAGAAGTGAAGCGACATGTCGGTATTTAGGACCATGTCAATGACGGCTGTGCGGAACTCCCTAAAAGGAGAGGCAAATAGTAAGCGATCCATGGGGAGTAGGCTGGTGGCGGAAAGACATCTTTAAGGACTCACTGATACTGTTCCTTGGGCATGTTTTCAAAGATGTTAAATTCGGATTCCTGGGTGATGCGGAACACGGCACTGACGTGGAAGTTCTCGAGGACGTTGCGATCGTTGTAGAGCATCGCAAGCTCCGTTCTACATGAAATGAAAATGGGTTGCATTAAATGATGTCGAAAACGTCTATTTTATTGCTAGTTTAAACTTCTCCACTTGGGTGGTTGGATGGTTAACAGATAGGTGGATGTTTACGAGCTTGAAGCATGCACTTTGACTTACTGTGTTTGAATGTGAAAGTTGTTTGTTGTTCCGGTGTGTTCAAAGTCGTGGATTAGAGCTGCGTAGATCACTGCGAAAATGTCCAAATCTGTCAGATAATCCTACAAAGATTCGAAGAGTAGTTGTTTCGAAAAACATGGCTCAGTAAAGCAGAGAATGCGTCCAAGTTCATCAAAAAAAACCCAAATATTTTATTGTTCCACCCTTTGAAATCAACCAATAGGCGTGCAGGATAAGTAGCTTCAGTCTGATTGGCTGACGAGCCGCCGACTTCGCGGAGGTGAGGGGAAAGTAGCCAATCAACTAACCCGAAGTTTGCTGGTGGTGAGGATGACGTGGCAGGTTTGCGCAACGTCCGAGGCATGAATAAGGTTGTGGTAGGGGTTCTTGTATTTGCCGTACCCTATTTCCAATCGCAAAAGTAGATTCTCCAGCCTCGAGTTGTCAATCTGGACCAATCAAAAAGAGAGAAAGCTGTTGAACAAAACAAACTGGTACAGTGTTGGGAGACTATTTTCTTTCCTTTCCTTAATCGCCGTAAAAAAATCAGGATTTCACGGTTTCTTAGATTTTTGTTTTTGTTTTAAGCCTCACTTCTCCATTTCTCAAGATTTGGGAGGCCACTATATGGACATCCAAGGCGCTCTACTGACAACGCGCCAGCAATCCGGGCATTAACAATCCTGTGAGAAGACCCTGTTCACATACCAAGTTTACACATTCCAAAAGAGACAGAACTGTGTATCCGACCCCCAGATCTTCGACCCTGAATACATTCAGCCTATATCAGATCCCCGTTTTAACCTCTTTGCTGCATCTTCGACCCCAAAAAGGCAAAGGCCATTACTCGATAACCTTAACAATTTTTTACTTAGACCAATGGATTTTTATTACACGTTGATGCCCTAGAACCTAGCTGAAACTGTTTGCCATTAGGGAAAAAGTGCAAGCTTCCTATTGGCTTATAACGAAGTGAAAAGGTGAACTTGGGGTCAAATTAAAGCGCAGTTACTACCCCTCCCTCACATACCTGAAATTTCGAGATGAGGTTATACTTATGCAGCAGCTCGAAGCCGACATACTTCAGCGCGTGATCGGCGCTGACCTCGTTGAACTCAAACACATTGAAGTTCCACTCGTCAAGACCACTCTGTTTAAAAAGTTGGGATTACAAATGCGTTACAGCTTTCAGACATATAACAAGGGACTATAATGGGTCAATCTGTATGAAATAAAGGTCAGGAACGTCGACTGATATCTACTTTTTAGTCTTGATAGTCGTTAGTGCTACTTAAAAGTTTTCAGTAGTTGAGGCATTACTCGTAATCATTCCAACAAAAAAGAGTTTAATCTGCCCAGGTGGATCTCAACACAAATTGTGCGAAAAATCTGGTAAAATTTGGAAGCTCTCATGACATAAAACAACATTTTTCTGCCTTTCTACCATCCTGCTCGTTCTACAGATGAGAGAGTTCTTTCAACGTATTCACCGACTGCCGCTGCTGTCGGCACCCTTAAAACACATTTTATGAATTATGCACTTTATTTGAGCACTTTGATCGCATTCCTTCTTTACAAACATAAGGTAAGGCCCGCGCAAGGGTGGTTAAATGGTAAAAGGACAACCTGAGTTTAATCAAAGGTGGGCGCTATTAAAGTCGCCTTGGATACCTTTAGAAGGAGGACCACATTGGGAGGAAGTATAAGGCAAGTGCAACTTGACATTCGACGATAAATTCTAGAAGGACACAGAGGTAGCACATTACGCTCTCTTCAAGTGGGCTAGGCATTCGCTTATCAACTAAGCTCGACTCTTTTTTGTACTTAAAATTTTACGGCACATAAGACTTGTGCAGTACTGAATTTCCACTTTTTGAGCAGAAAATGTAAAATCGAGGAGGTCACTGCCCTCTAAGACATTTTGAGAAGAATAGGTACAATTAAATGCCATTTCGATTACTTCTCGCCATTTAACTGACTGACTGACTTCCTGTGGACGACTCTTTCATCAAGGCGTCTCACCTCTCCACCACAATTCCCGCTCGAATGGCATTGACCACGGATCTGAAGCGCGGTTTGGCCACGCGCCTACCGCCGGAGGGATTGCGAGTGAAGGTTGAGGCCAACCAGTTGCGCACCTCGTCGGGCACCTCAGAGCACGCGGTCTCCGACAGCTCGTCATCTTCGTCGCGAAGGCGCCTACAAAAAGACTGCCTGCAGTCCGGCATCTCCATGAGAATATCAAATGAGGCCAAATGGATTGACACATATTGGAAAAAAAATCATTTCGCTTGTTCTAATGTGCGCCCGAGAACGCGGGCTATTCAAGCTCCGCGGGTTGTACTTCGGTCTCGGTGCAGCGCCTCAAGGCGGACGTATCGACCCTATGTCGAGCGAATTTTATTTAATTTTTTCACCGCCAAATCCTCCTAATTCTTTTTTTAAAATTACATAACTAAGTTTTATAAAAAAAGTGAAAATTTTGAAGCTTACTTGGTCTCTTCGATGTAGGTCTTCTCGACCACTTGAAGTGCATAGGTGAGATTTTCGATGAGGACCGATTTGGTTATCTTGTTTTGTTCTGTCAATTTTACAATCTTTCTAAGTCTAAAAGAAAAAAACTTCAGTTAAGTTAGTCCACTTTCTCCCCTTCGCCTCCCGCCCTTTCTCTGACAGGAGTAGAGAGGATGTGTTGAAGGCGTGGCCCTCCTAGCTTGAAGTTCTAGAAGCTCCACAAACACTGATTGGGACGCACTTTGACCGTGCAGTCAAGGGACACAGGTATTGAAAGTACTCAGGTTTTTGCTGCTGAAGGCCTTTGTTTATCTCTTGAGTTTTCACTTCGTGGTTGCCTTGACTGGAAACTCAATAGACCGCTCCTCTCTACTCCACCATGCTCCATCCAAGACTACGTGCCTCATGTTTCGATCCTTACCAGCACCACCCCGTTCCTATCTCCACCCCCCGCCTTCCACTGTCAATAGCTCTAGAAAATAGGGTATACAAACATCTTGAGATGGGGACGAGGATGGTTTTGGACCCCCATAACGATGTATTCATGTTCGTTTCCTATCAGCATCCACTCATCTCACGCACAAGTCGTCTTACTTTTACTGTCTAGAACCACCCAGATGTTGTTAGTGGTAGGCCCGATAGGCTAGAGCATTCGGCAGTCTAATTATTAACATTTTATTGCGCAACAACTCCCGGTTTATTTTAGGTTTAGTGGTTTATGTATACCATCAAACCTCGCTCTTTGTAATTGTGTATGTGTGCGCGCCCCCTCCCTCTCCTTCGCTTTCTCTCACTCCCTACCTCCACCTCCCAAAATTTGTAAAAAAAGAGGGAAGAGGGTGGGAGGAGTGGAAAGCAGTCTTTTTTAAAGCATTCAACCACGCCCATGGCGACATGATGGTTGGGAAAAAGGAAATGAAGGATGACTTCAACCTTACAAGTAGTGCGAAAAGGGACAATGTGCTTCGCCTTACCTCTCAGAGAATCTTATGCAATCTTGTGGCTATCGATTTTGGGCCAGAGCCCCTTTCAATCTTATTAAGTGAGAATAATTGATGGTAGTTCAGTGTTTTCTTTTATCTGATCAATTAAGTGGAGGGCCTTTAAAGTACATTCTAGGGATTTTTAACTAAAAATTAAATTAAAAATTGCAAACGGACCTTAAAAGACATGCAAATGTGGAATCTGTCGAGCCAGGCAATGGAAGACCTTCAATGGAGAGCCTTCTTTTGGCGTAGAATGCCACTGAAGAGTTTGAGAGACTCGGAAATTCGCTCTCATATGATTGGTCGTCGTTCCTATCTCTCCTTTCATTGGTCGCCTCGCCTACCAATCGAAATTTAAAAAAGCATAGCTACATGTTAAATTAGAGGCAAAAGAGAGAAGAGAAAAAAGTGGTTTAATAAGTGATAATGATGCTGTCAAGGCCTTTTTAATGATAACAAGTTTGATGTGTATTTTAATAATGAGTGATTTGGCTGGCATGCAAAGATCCAATCAAATTGCAGTGGAAGGTTTTACTACCAATAGGGGTGGGCGAGTTGTTTGAGACCCCTTAACTACTCCGAATTAGTGAATTAACTGGTCTCCAGGGCCACCTTAACTATTCTCATGATGACTGTGTGGTGCAATATGGAGGAAAGGCATCAACTATCCCCTTTTGTAGGGTATGACAGACTGCAGATGCGTCTCTTTGATCCGGTTGTTCACGATGGAGGAAAGAGATCCACCTTGAGAGACGCATCGCGTTTGCGTGGGTACTTTCTGGTGTTCTCGCACGACCTGACCTGTCATTAGCTACGTGGGTGTGAAAGGTGTCACACAAAGTAGTTGATCCGCTTGGGGGTCACATGCACCCGCGATTGTGCCCGCAAATGATTTTCCCCTTTTTCAATGTCTCTGGCACAAATCACCCATCGGTTGGACATGATCGTCATGACTCGGTCTTGCATGCTTGACAAGACAAGTGTACCTCGGTTACACAAGTCACGAATGGACGAATGGATGGGTATTTAACCCCACCTACTTCCCAACTGTCCTGTGTTATCCCCTCATACAATTTTGGTGCCTTCTTGGCCACACATCCACACTCAACTCACCACAATCCATTGATTCTGCCGACGAGGATGACAAGGCCTCCACACAATCGGGTGAATATCCAACCTCCATCCTCCTCTTCTCCGAGTTGTATCGCATTTTCATCGGCTCCTCCTTGAGCTGACTTCTTTGAACTGCGCTATTCTCAAAGTGTTCTTTGCGATGATTAGAGGTCTCCTG